TTCCTCTTGGCTTGTGTGTCTGTTGTCTTCTCTTCTTATAAAGATACCAGTCATACTGGGTTAGGATCCATCCCCATGACTCAGCTGACTCATTTACCTTACTTCCTCTGTAGAGGCCTTGAGGACCTTACAGAAGCCTTACAGACCTCTGTAGAGGTCTCCAAATGCACTCATGTTCTGGTTTCTTGGAGGTTAGGACCTCAACACATGCGTTTGAAGGGATATAGAGACGATTGCATGGCATCACCAACTCAGTGGACATGAGTTTGAGCAAACTCCAGGAGATCGTGGAGGACAGGGAAGCCTGGCGTGAGTTCACGGGGTCACAGAGAGTCGGACACCACTTGGTGAGTGAACAGCAACAACATGTGCATCCCATAAGACCCCAGCCATGCCTCTCCTCATAAATTATCCTAAGGGGCTTCCCTGGTAGCTCAGTCGCTAAAGAATCTGCCTGCAGTCCAGGAGACCCAGTTTCAATCCCTGAGTTGGGAAGAGCCCCTGCAGATGGAAATGGCAACCCACTCCAGTATTTTTGCCTGGAAAATCCTATGGACAGAGGAGCCTGGTGGGCTACAGTCCAAGGGGTGGCAAAGAGTTGAGCATGACTTAGTGACTAAACCACCAAGGAGATAATTCAAATAAAGAGAGTATATGTGCAAAAATCATTCATTTTTAGTGTTTCATAATGTCAAGTAACTAAAGGAAATCACTCCTGAATACTCATTGGAAGGACTGATGCTGAAGCTGAAGCGCCAATACTTTGGCCACCTGATGCGAAGAACTGACTCATTGGAAAAGACCCTAATGCTGGGAAAGATTGAAGGTGGGAGGAGAAGGGGACGATAGAGGATGAGATGGTTGGATGGCATCACCGACTCAATGGACATGAGTTTGAGTAAGTTCTAGGAGTTGGTGATGGACAGGGAGGCCTGGCATGCTGCAGTCTGTGGGATCTCAAAGAGTCAGACATGACTGAGTGATTGAACTGAACTGATGTATAGTAGGAGAAGTTAAATAACTTGTTCAATAGACTACATTGTAGCCATTAAATTTTTTTAGAATGAAAACAATGTGAAATATTTTTTAAAAATTCTCAACATATGAGAAAAGTAGGATACAAATATCACACGACTTGACTGGGCAAATATATCAGCATATGGATAATCAGTGGAGAGAAAAGGTAGATAAAGTCGTGTTCTTGAGGTGATCCTGATATAGAAGACTTCTTTCTCTTTTAAGATGGTTTCCAGCTAGGTTAGAAGAGCAGTTCTAACTGGTAAGACAGTACCAGGCTTCTGTGGGTAGGTACCACCAGATTTTTAGTGCCATAAGTTGGAATTTGGTTAAAAACAAGGAAAATGAAGACAAGTTGAGGCTTGACAAATCATGTAGCAGCTCCGACATGTGGCAATGATGCCAGAACTCTGCTGTACTGAAAAGAAGAAGCCGGCTGGCCTCGGTGCCCCCAAGGCAGGAGGCTTGGTGTGTGGAGAGGAGCCCATCTTGACTGCTGGTGACCTTGGGCAATCCTTTCCTTCTCTGCCCCTCAGGCTCCTCTTGTTTAAAATGTGGGTGTTGGAATGGGTCCTTCGAAAAGCCATCTCTTTCTTCATTCTTTCATTCTCTGTTTTGTCCCACATATGTAAATATATGTCTACGCAGTCTTTTCCTTGCACATGACAATTATCAAGTATACTCTGGCCACGCATACATCCTTCAAAGAGCCAGAATCGGGTAGAAAGTCAAAGAAAGGAAATAGCATCAGCCACTTTGTTTCTCCAGCATTTGATTATGAGAAGCCAAATCAGAATTTCCCCCTCACCTTCCCCTGGCCGCCACCCCGGCTCAGAGGAGGTCAGCAGTCTCTGCCTATCTTTAGGGAACCTCTGAGCACACCAGGGCCAAAGGCGGAACATCTGAGTTCACAGCCGTGACTTCAGCCATTGGTTTTCTCACCCAGGATTGTAGATGGAGAGCTTTGGGGGCAGGTAGCCACCCACCGTGCCCCCTGGCCTGGGACGGGGCAGTTGTCCCCAAGGCACATCATGTGGGAAAATCCAGTTTTCAGGGTGTCTTCATGCTGGAGAGAAGCAAACAGAAGAGAAGGGGTCAGAGGGGCAGCAGCCGCCGGCATTGACAAAACCCCTGTCTCTCCCTCGAGCTGGAAAAATCCATCATTCCCTTTATAGGAGCCTGAATTTCAGGCCCTGAAAGAGAGGGTTCATGAGTCAACAGAAAGAATAATAAAGGTGTCCCAGCCTTGAAGACTTACTCAGGGCAGCACAGAAAGTATCAACCTGCAGTGTTTGTACTTGAGCCTTTTATATACGTGTTTTATCAAAAACATTTGCCTGTAGCATCCTGGCACACGCTCTGCTTCCTCCTGGACAGTTAGGTGGAAGGCTTCTTTATTTCTAAGGGTGAATCAAAATAACAGCACACACAGTGAGTCAGTTGCCCACTCGCATGTGTGTGTGTGCGAGAGAGTGCTTGCACGAGCGTGTTTGGAGGCAGTGGAGTGCAGTGAAAGCCTGAGAGCTTTGGGGTTACTCTCCCATTCACACATTCGCTCCACAAATCCTGCTGAGTTCCTGCCACGAGGCCCACGCTGTTCTGAGCAGGGGGCACTGTGGGGCACACAGAGGAGACACCATCCCTGCTCTGGGGGAGCTCGTGGCCTGGGAGAGGGGGAACGCACGGTAAACACCCGTGAACCCGTCAGAGAGGAGGCCTTCTGGTCCAGCTCACCACGGACCCGCCACGTGACACGTGACGCCCGACTGTGACCTCGCTGAGCCCCAGTGTGCGCGTCTGTCCGGTGAGATCAGAGCCGTTTTAAAGAGATACTGTGAGGCTTAGAGAGAGGGTGCCTCACTCAGCGGCACGTGGAGGGGTCTCAGGACACAGCCGGCACGGCGATGGGACTCGGGTCCCGATTTCCCACTTATGAAGCTAAAGAGAGAGGGAAAGAAAACACAGAGCTCATAAGCAGCCCGCAGGTGGCGGCTGAAACCTCTCATGCTCCCTTCAGCAGAAACACTAGTCTTGTCCCAGCAGCTTTTGCTACCACCTCTGAAAACACACACAAACAAAAAATGCAAAATTGAGTTCCCCCTCTGTCTTTGTGGGTCCAGGGTGAGCGAGTGGAGTGTCAGTGTTGATGGAAGGGAGAGGCTGAAGAAGGGAAGCCCAGGCTTTGCCAGACTCTTAGTTCCGAGACCAGAGTCTCCTTCTGTCGTGTGCACGTGCACTTTACACAGCCGTGACGGGGTTCAGTGGTGGGGGCTCAGTCGGTCAGTCAGCACGTGTTGATTACACTGGAAGCTGAAATGAAAGACGAGTAAAAGCCTCTGCGCCCCCTAGAAGCTCCCAGTGCAGCAGGGGAGGCAGACGGACTGGTCATTGTAACCCAGCCCCAAGAGGGAAGAGGGGTGTGTGCGGCGTCTGGAGTGTGGAGGAAGCAGGGGCCGGCTTGGCAACAGATGTAGGGGAGACGTCACCCAGAAGGCAACAGGAGCTGATGTTTACCTGGGGCCTGGAGAATTCCATGGACTGTGTAGTCCATGGGGTCACAAAGAGTCGGACACGACTGAGTGACTTTCACTTCCACTAAAAGATCACAGGGGCTAAGACAGGCACTGTCTGCTAGTGGGCAAACTCTTATCCTCAGAATTTCTATTATTCTCATCCTTCCAGCCAGTAGGCGCTTTTGACCTCATCTTCAGCAGCCTTCCCTCCTTGTCAGGGAACACAAATCACAAGCACATGGTGTTCAGTTACCCAGCAGAGTTGGTCTAAACAGGAGAAAACTGGCTTTGAAATGCCACATTATCTCCACAGTTCCTACAAGCAAAACTGTTAAAGTACACAGTGACATGAAGTAGAAGCTGTCTTTGAAGCTGTTTTTTAAAATGTTTATTTTGTACTGCAGTATAGCCAGTTAGCACTGTTGGTAATAGTTTCAGGTGGACAGCAGAAGAACTCAGCCACACATATACATGTATCCAGTCTCCTCTCCCATCCAGGCTGTCGCTTAACACTGAGCAGAGTTCCCTGTGTGAAGCTGTTTTTATAGTGTAAAGGAGAAGCTCTGAATTTTGATCTTTGATTAGTGTTGACTTGATTCCTTACGAAAACATGGACGGTAATATAAAACAGAAAAACAGAAGCGCTAAGGGTCAAAACTGTGGAAAGCTTATCATAGACCAAGAAGACCAGGGAAAAAATACAGAGACTATGCTACCAAAAGAGCGCAGAAAACTTCTTCTTTCTTTTTTTTTAAAAAAAGGAGAGTTTGGTTCTAAGCTTCCGAGAGGCTTAGGCAAGCGCAGCTTTTAAATACCCGCTGTCGGTTATCCTATTTACACCCATGGGGCTGATGGATATACCTTCTCAATGGAGCAGAAAAAAAGGTTTTCCTGTTCTGAAAAGAATTGTTTTCACAGGGATCTACATAAAGGAGAGGGTTGAGGTTAAAGAACATGGACCGTGGTGAGGCACAAATGAAATGGTAAATGTGCTTATTAAGAAGTTCAGGCTTTGAAGTCCAGACTGACCTAAATTCAGATTCTCGCTCCACGGTTTACTGACCACGACATTAAACAGAATTCTTACCCATCAATATCCTAATCTGTAAAAGTGCGGCCTTCACAGGGTTGCGCTTGGGGAGGCTCAATGAAAGGAGACGTGTCTGGTGGGTGGTACGGTTTCTGACACACAGCCTGGTAGCCATCAGAGTGATTCCAGGGGGAGCCGCTCTTGGTTCATGGCCGTGTCTTCTGTGAAAAGGAAACCAGGTCTGTCATCTCCTGTGTGCGATCTCAGAGATGCTTGTGGCGTGGGTTGCTTTTCAGTGTAGGCACTTCTCACCAGGGTAGCGCGGACTCTGCTGACAGAAGCAGAAAGGCAACACATTGCAAACCAGCGGGGAGGGCTGTGTCTGCTGGTGAGGGGGTCAGCCACGCCACTCTGACGTCTGCCCGTCTCTTTTCTCGAAGGTGAATGATTCAAACTGTGACCAGGAACTTCTTTCCCTGCTCCTGGAGGCCAAGCTCTTGGTGAAGTGCCTCTCCACTCCCTTCTACCCGCGTCTCGTCGGGCACCTGCTGGCCAGCCCCCAGCCTGGGCGCTGGGACCCTGAGGAGCTGGCCCAACAGCTGTGGGAGGCCGGCCATGAGGCTGAAGCTGGCTCACTCCTCCTGGCTGTGCGGGGCACCCATCGGGCCTTGAGGACCTTCAGCATGGCCCTGGGCGCAGCGCAGCTGTGGGTTGAGCACGCCCACCCGCGCCCACCTCCGTCACCTCCCTGAGGAGAGCCTCCCGAGCCCAGTGCTGTCCCCAGAGGCGACACATGTACTTATAGATGGTTCTCGGTGGTTCCAGAGAATTGCAAATAAAGCTGTATATAAATGATGAACAAGTTGCCATTTCTTGAACTTTCTTTTTTCTTTCTTATATTAGTTACCCTGCTTTCTTACTAGGAGAGACCTGACTCTTGACTCTTGTTTTTTTTTTTGAACCATCTCTTCTGGTGGTGGTGGTTTAGTCACTAAGTCATGTCCGACTCTTGCAACCCCATGGACTGTAGCCCGCCAGGCTCCCCCGTCCCTGGGATTCTCCAGGCAAGAACACTGGCGTGGGTTGCCGTTCCCTTGTCCATCTCCTCTGGTAGAGGGCAGTGAACACAGTGTCTGAAACTGCAGTCCAGGCAGTCGGCTGTGGTGGTGGAAGGGGAGAGCGTGGGGAATGGCCAGTGGTTGGAGCACGTCCTGGATGGAGGGAGCTTGGACCTGGATTCCTGTCTCAGGTCAGTTACTCGACTTTGGGCACAGTCCTCCCTCTCGGAGCCTTGGTCGGTCCTGTGGACCGAGAAACGATTGTGCTGTTTCTCTCTCGGGGTTGTTGAGTATCATGTGGGGCTCTGTCAGACACTTGGCAGGAGCCCAGGAAGCCTTACGTCCCCTCTCCCCATGAGTCGTGTAGATGAGCCGTAACTTGAAGGGCCCAGGCAGGTGATCAGTACCCGTACCTGAGGGCTGCCCGTTGATTAGGGACCTCCAAACCTGTCCATATCACCATAGAGGCTGACAGGTTTGCAGGTCTGTACAGCATCTGTGACTGGCGGGTGGGCTGATGGAGCCAGCTGTGCACTCCTGCCAGGACTGGCTGGCCACGAGTCACTAACACAGGAGTGCAGATAGCAACACCCTTGGGAAGACCCATCACGGAAAGGGGGTTCCCTGCACGGAACGGCAAGGACCCCAGTGCATACCTCGCTGGTACTCGCTTCCCTGCAGAAGTGTGTGCTTGAAGGTGAAGGTTCCGGCTGGAAGTCCTGAGCTGAGCTCTTGGGAAAATCACACCACGTTCCAGCCACAGCAACAACCCAGGCAGCAGTTGGTGGGGAGCAAACTCTGTGACTGAAGGACCATCAGGGGGTCTGTCCGATGCACACTGGTCTTCACCTCGACCCCCAGGAAATATTCAGAGGGAGAGGAGGGTGGCTGTGCATTCATGGAATGTTTAGATAGATAATGTCATCTAGGACAATTCTTTATTAGCATGAACACTTTTCATTAGTTTAAGGAATGTGGAAAGGCTCCTTCTGGTCAGTTTCCACATTGCCCTGTCAGAACCAGCAGGGTTTTGGGTTTTGTAGTGTGGTTTGCACTGTGCATCATTGACGTGTGGCGTACGGGGGCAGCTTACTCTCCCCCTTTCCTCCCCACACTGTCACCAGTGCCACACACACACACCTGGTTGAGTCCACCTTCTGTATAAGAGTAACTTTACTTCATCTTACTTCACATATTGTCCTCATCACCACCACCATCATCATCATTACCATCACATCACCACCATCATCGTCATTGCCATCATATCATCATCACCATCACCACCATCATTACTATCACCGTGCTCATTGGCTTCACCTCATTTCTGCTCCTATGGGTGTAGCTCCAGTCCTCTGATAGGAAAAAGTTCTTGACATATTGGTATAATAGCTCCACTCCGCTGACTTCTGACCAGTCATCTGTTCCAGGATTGAGTTCCTCGCCTGAACCTTCAGCAGCACCTGGAATTTGGGAGTGGCTTGCACAAGTCTGTTCTTAGGAAAAGGCTGAGCAGAATTCTCCCAGATTAGATAACATCTGTCCAGGCTGAACACAAGGTCACAGAGGTCTTCCTAGAACTGTGATGGCCCTAACCGTACAGTTGGCATTAGTCAAGCCACTGCTAGGAAGGATACCTACTAACAGTTTGGGTTTCTTCTAACCTTACAGCTGACTTCCATCATTTCAGGTGATTTAAAAACAAAGTGAGCAGTATTAGTATTCTGAGATAGCATATTAGTCCCTTTTAGTAGAATCCATCCAGAGATGTTTTCCTTCTAATTGCAGGATTAGAGGGCTTAGACATCAGTATAGCATCCTGACTACATAAATTAATAAGCTGAGGCCCAGCAGGCCCTGGGACAATGATAAGTGTGGGTCTCCATGTCCCAGCCACCAGCCTGAAATGCTAATGAGGAAGGGAGTCCCTCAAATAAACTAGGTTGCTCCAATTGACTCATGTCCTCACTTTTCAGAAACCAAATTTCCAAGATTTGAGCACTTTCTGTGGGGAAAAAAAAAGCAAAGAAATAAGTCATTCCAGTTGCATGTCAATTTCATAAATACTCTAGAAGACTGAGTTGGTCTCTAGAATGTTCTGTTGGCATTTAGACATTTGCCATAAAGTTTAGATAAAGAAGTAAGATAATATGTTGTCTTTCTTATTGTAAAACAGAGGCCCCAGACCTTTCTTTTTAAAAACAGCAAGAAAGGGCTTCCCTGGCCCTCCCTCACTCACGCTCAGACTCCAAGGCCTTGCTTCCATGGAAAAGGGGTGCAAGAGTGAGAGGAGTCGGAAGGAGCCTCTGGTGTCCAGAGCCTAGGCGTGGATGCTGCGGTTCTTCAGACAAGCTGCGCACTCTCAGCCTCATTTCCTCGTGCGTGAGGAGGGCCGAGCGTGCCTTTCCCGGTATTTTCCTTTCAGCGAGGCGATGCCGCTGCAGCCCAGCCGCCCAATGTGGCCGGCTCTGCCGGAGCCCCGCTCCACAACCGAGCCTGCGCTCCAGAGTCCGGGGACCGGGACTGCTGAGCCCGCGGCCCACGCCTGCCGGAGCCCCGCTCCACCAAGGGCCTCCTCTCCGATCACGAGAATTTCAGCTGCGGAAATGCTCTCGCCAACACACACTGCAAGCTTTATTAAGTTCACTCACTCCTTTCATCCTCATGACAGCCATATGAGGAAACGAGGTCCAGCGAGGGTAAGCGATTTGCCCGAGGACACAAAGCTAGTAAGGAATGGAATCATGATGCGATCTTAGGTCACCTGACTCTGAACCCAGCCCTTGGCCACGATGCTGTATTAAGTGTATTAGCACCAGTCCTCACAGCTCTTTGGACTTCCCTGGTAGCTCAGACGGTAAAGCGTCTACCTACATATGTGAGAGACCTGGGTTCGATCCCTCAGTTGGGAAGATCCCCTGGAGAAGGAAATAGCAACCCACTCCAGTACTCTTGCCTGGAAAATCCCATGGACAGAGGAGCCTGGTAGGCTACAGTCCATGGGGTCACGAAGAGTCAGACACAACTGAGCGACTTCACTTTCACTTTGTTTCACAGCTGTTTTGGTCCTCGGCCGGCAAACCTGGGCGCGTTTCCTGGAGGACATGTGAGTGACACTAGGCTACCTTCTCCACCCTCCCTTCTGATGCTGAACTGCTGATATGGTGGCTCAGGGGTCTGTGAACTGTCAAGCCTTTCACCCGCCCAGCCTTCTGAAAGGTGGGACACACGTTTCCCTCTTACTAAAGACCTGAATCCTGAAATGGAGACTCCCCCCACTTCTCCCAGAAGACCACGGGGGCTTCATTCAAGCCTTCCCTGGTATTCCAGAAGGTGCAGGAGGTTTGACCACCATGAACATTCTCTCTAGACAGCCTGGCATCACCCAGCTAAACTGCAGCGAGGACACAGGACATGTCAAGGACTTGTAGTGTTAACCACTGGTTACCAGTCAGGACTGGTATCACCCGGGGAGAATAAACCAGGCGCTGAGTCCCCACCCCCAACCCTGACCAATCATATTAGAACATCTAAGGGTGAGACCCATGTGATGTTAGCCACAGCCCATGGAGGGGGCAGGGTTTATGTCTTTGGGTTCTCATCTTGTTGGCCATGTCTCTGGCCCCTTTCTCCAGGCCAGCCCCATTCTGGAAGCCTCAGCTGGATGACAGGAGGGGAGGAGGTTGGAGTTCTCGGGCTGGGAGTGACCAGTCAAGACTGGTTCTTTCCCACCCCCTCCCCTGGTCCTCACCTGCAGGTGAATAGGAGCAATTTAAGAGAGAAGTGAAAGGGTCCATCACTTATGTAACCTGCCGCTAAATTAAGAGCTGGAGTTGAAGTGGTTCCTTGTGTCTGTTCATGACAAGCTCTGCAAGGGGAGGCATGCTGGGTTCTAGATGGCAGAGACCCCAGTGAAGCCAGCATTAAACCAAGAAAGAGGCTGAGTTGGCACACTTGCTGGGCTTAACCCGGGAGTCCCCACCATGAATGGAATGTGGGAGTCCCACTTACAGGGCAGCAGCTGCCCCAGTTGGAGCATCCTTGGCACACGGATGGACCATGCCCTCCCCTAGTTTGATTTCTGGTGGAGGATCGCTGCTTTGTAATCTCCAGTTTATTAAATGCCTGGGATGGGGCGGGACTTAGCCCTCCTGCTCCTCCTGCCCAAATTCCATCTTCCCTGGACAGCACATCATCTCCTTTCATTCTGACAACAACTCTGGGGTGGATTGTATTAGCCCCCAACTGGCAGTTGAGGAAACTGAGGCACAGAGAGGTTAAGACCCCAGCTTGTGAGCGGGAGAGCTCCCTGGAGCCGTGACGCTGCTGGTGCTCCAGGTGAACTTGGCCCTCCAGGGGCATCAGAGGTGTGGACAGGCAACCCCCTGCACTCACCCCCACCCAACATTCCCCCACCCTGACCCCGGTGCCCTTTCTGAGCCTATTCTCAGGGGTGGAGGCATCCAGGCCCCGGGAGCAGTGATGGAAAATCCTGGAGAGAAGGGCACGTGGTTGCTGCAACACCAAACTGGGGTCTCCAGTTTCCGACGGTGTGGGATGTGGGGGACACGTGCGTGCTATTGACAGAGGACAGCTCAGAGTAACAGGAGGGGCTGTAACCAACCTCAGAAAGGACAGGGTCTGAGGGCCTCTGGGAACCCCAGGGGTCTAGGGACTCAGATGCTCCTCGAGTCCCTCCGTCATTTCTTACCAACAGTCCCCAGGGCCCCTGCCTGCTGTTTCACTCCCGGCTCTTACAGATGAGCCTTCTCCACATGGCAGGGCTCCGGGCTTTGTGTCTGGGCCC